GTCAGTGTGTCTGCAGCAGGGCTGTCCAGTCCTGGTCCTGGAGGAATGGTCAGTGTGTCTATTCCTGCTCGGTTCCTACCTAACTAACCTAAATCAGCTCTTTATTGTCTAAAAAAATAAAGTTTTTATTGTTTTACTGTCTATAAAACCTAAATCGGCTCTTTATTGTCTTATTCCCATGGTGCCCAACTCCAGTCCCGGGGGGCTGCAGCCCGTAGGATTTTTCTGTGGCCCTCTATACCTCCAGCATCCTAAGCATCCATTCATTTAAGCCGACAATTACTTGTTTAAAGCTGAGCTGGAGTGAGCCTCTGGGAGTGGAGACTCGCTGCTTTACACCACAATCAATACTTTTTAATTCGATCTCCTCATCCTAAGGAAGAGAATGATGTCCAGTGTACTTTGGATGCTTTGAAGAAATCCTTAAGCTCTCGTCGCATTTGTGAACTCCAGAGCCTGTTTTCTGTGCCGTGCTCAATCAGTGATGTGAATAGTATTAAAACCGCAGTCATGCTGGTGGCATACTGAGAGGTTAGGGGCGGAATGAGACAAGTGACCTGCGCCACCTGTGGGCTGGTTTCCAGTTATAAACCCAGCAGACCGATTCGCACTTTGGTCAAGGAGTGAACTTCAGAGCAGTTCACCTGGGTTTATGTCCAGCGTTTGTCTGGGGGAGGTTAACAGTTGCAACACAAATTGTCACTAAATCAATTTATAGAGGGAGTGGGGGTCTGTGATCAGTAACAGGGACAGCCAGGAGCCCCAGTCCCGACACTCGCTGGCTGTCAAGATGGCGGCAGCTTCCACGGGGGGGCCGCAGTGTCACGGGCAGGAGCTGCCTTCGCACCCGGGTCCAGAGAGAGAGGAGCGAGGTCACGGGGACCACAGCCCCCCCAGGACGCTGCCGCACAGCGCCAGTGGGAAGCCGGTTAAGGGAAAGAGACACGCGTGACTGTGTGGCGTGGAGGAGTTGTCCGGCCTTGAACATTGTCGTCTTTACCAGGTAGGCCAGGGCTCTGCAAACAATGTCCTGAGGAGCCTATGCTCCGCAGGTTTAACGGGCAGATCTGGGATCTCATCCTAATTAAGCAACTGATTGCTCCATTTACTCATTAAACAGTCATTCAGAGCTGAGCAGGAACCAGAGGACACAGTGACTTACCAGGCCCCAGCTAGACTGGACTTTGTTAGTAATGCACCTTGAGATGTAGCATAAATGTAAACCTGATTGTTTTATTGTCTGATTGACTGCGTGATGGAGAGCGCTTTTTGTGCCTTTCGCGTCACGCTCTTGTGGCGTTTAGGCCGGGAAGCAGATGGAGCAGCACTCAAAACAGATCTCCAGGCAGTCCGAGGACTCGCAGCAGTCCTCCAGCATCCCACAATCCACCCCGGTGGAGCAGCCATCCTCCCCGCCCCCACAGGCCCCGCCCCCTTCTGCCCCACCCATGCAGCAGCACAAGGCACCGCAGCCCCGCCCACAGCCCAGGCACTCCACCAGCACGGAGCACAGAGACAGCAGCTCACAGAACAGGCAGGCCAGGACGCAGTGCACACAGCGGTCTGCAGGGGGAGACATACACACAGGTCACAGATACAGCTCAGGACACCCGGTTCATTCCTGACCATCACACAAACCTGCCCCTCCCATCCACCGTCACTGCAGGGAGGAGCTAATAAACAATGTCTTTGCTTGTGGTCTAAACTGGGATGGTAATAAGCAAGCTCAGGGCTACATGTTGTATAAAATAATCCAGCCCACAATTTATTGCTTTATAAACAGAGTCCTATGCCTTCTTGGGTCAGACAGGACAGGGCTCTTGTGCTGAATCCCGAAGAGCCCGCTCCACTGCAGAATTTTACTGCAAGCAGCTGCTTAGTCATTTCATTGACATCAGTGGTTGCTCAATGCCAGCCCAGCTTTACCGAAGCACAGAAAGAGCTGCATGTCAACTAGGCCTTTTATTATCTGTGTTCTGGGCTGGGTTGGATATAGCCCATTTGAGATATTTCTAAACAGTAACAGCTTGTTGACTGTTCAACACATTGAGCTGATGTTCTGCGCTTGTTTGCATTTTCTGCTCTGTACTGAAAGGCTGTCTTGCTTTAACTATCAACATCTGTTTTAGGAAAATATTGGTCACGTTAAACAAATGTCCTTAATTTCCTGTTTTCATGTGTCCAGGGTGCCATGAGGTCACACACTAGAGTTTTTTTTTTTTTATTGTCCCTCTGGTACCTGGTCCTGCTGGGGGCGCTGTCTCTCCTGCAGGGTTCCCAGACTCACACGCCAGCCAGGCTCTAAGTCAGACGAATGAACCCTTAATGGACTTTATAACAGGACTAATCTGAGTTCTTCGACTGATTTCAGCTCTTTAGGTTCCAGTTTTACTATTGCACGTCATAAGCCACATGAAATCCAACAGTTGAAAACAAAAACTGTCCAATATTCCAATCAAGCAACTTGTTCGTTCAATTAATGTTGAGATGAGGCAACTGAACTGGGCTAAAATGAAAAGCCAGCCGGTGTGTGGACCACTGGGATCAGGATTTGGAACTCTGTATGTTTAGGATTTGCTACGCTGTATGTGTAGCCTATGACCTGCCGATGCCAGTTCATATGAAATCCAAGTCCATTCCAGGTTTTGGGTGCCACCAGCTCTTTGACCATAGTATTCAATCAGCTATTAAAGAAACAGGTACAGAGGATTGTCGGTCCAAGCCAGGCTCCCGTGGCAGAGAGCACTAGAGGGCCCGGTGCGTCGCTGTCCTTACTTCGACCCCCCTTATAGCTTGACAGCAGCGTTCAACCCTCTCCCCCCCCCATGCTCATGAAAACATGCAGTTCTGCATTTCAAGCAAATAAGGATGCATCTGTGCATGCGTCTCTGGTCCCGGAGTGCTACAGGACTCGCTGGTGCTCATTCCCACCCAGCTTGCAATTACAGCAGTTAACCAGTTATTGGTCAGGATTAGAGCGAAGTGGCCTGAAAGCGCCTAGGAAGCCTCCAGGCCCAGGGATCTTCATCACTAGAGCTGCAGGCCACCGTACAGTAGGTGAGGAAGAGCTGGTTGGATCAGAAAGTAGAGGCCTGAAAAGTAAACCCCCCACTCCGTGCCCTGACCCAGTGCAGCCACACCCTCGAACCCCAGGGGTCCTGAAGCAGAAGACTAAGGAGAAATATCACACAAAGGTCCAACTGCTTTCACCCCCTGGGAAAGATTCAAATGTTAACGCGTGCATCGCACGTCAGTCCCCGTGCGCGCTGTTACAGAAGAGCTGTGGCACTTTTCTGAGAAGGCGTGGGGTTCTCGACCGAGAGTGACACGCCTGTGACGTGCCAGAGGAGCGCTCACTTTGCAAGGGCTCCCACTGAACCACTCAGCAGCAAGGCCAAAGGTCGAAGGTCAGAGAAAGAGGCCTGCACGTACCAAGTAAATCATTACAAATAGCTGGTTGACAGCAAGAAGTTTGACAACAAATAAAGTTTTTTATAATGGGGGGTCTCCTGACTTATACCACAGCTCAACCCAGATGCAATTAGGCGTCTGCCTTCATCGTTCTCAGGCAGAACCAGATCAGCCTTATAGGCTTCTGGCCATCTTTCAATCACGATGTGCTGGATAGGAGTTCATGAGATAAGACACGTCCGGTAATTAATCTCTCATGATCTGTACGCCTGTAGATCATTTAATGATCTGGACAGATCATAAAATCTCGCGAAAGTGACACAGGAAACAACAGGTGGAAACGGATGTTAGCGAACCGCTGGAGCGCTGGCATGGCCGGGCTGGAGCCCAGAGGCCCCGGGTCAGTGGAACAGCAGCTGGGAGATTTCCATTCCCAGCTCCAGGCACTCCGTGGTCTGCAGGCAGGCGTCCCAGAGCGAGCAGTCACACTGGCACCCGCAGCACTGCGCCTCCAGGCAGCACCCCAGCCAGCCGCAGGGGCTCTCCCCGGCCCCCTCCAGCAGGGGCCGCAGAAGAGCAGGGCAGCAGCAGCAGAGGGGGGAGGAGCAGAGGGAGGAGCAGAGGGAGGAGACACACAGCTCGCAGGCCTCAGAGGTGAGGAACATACAGTCCCACAGCCTGCACCACAGGCAGGCCAGCAGCATGGACATGCACAGGTCTGGGAGAGGGGGTGGGGGCAGGGGGATCCGGGGACAAGGAGGGGAGAGTCTCGGGGCAGAGGGATAAGGGTGGGGGGAGGGCAGGAATGAAGGGAGGGAGGAGAGAGGAGAGCAGGTGGAGAGAGAGAGGAGGGGGGAGCAGAAAAGAGAGAGAGAGAGAGGCCGAAGCCACTGTTAGTGCGTGTTAGGCAGCAGGTGCGGCGCGGGGCAGGAAAGCCGAGAGGGCACGCGCAGCGCTCTGCGAGCCCAGGGGGGCCGTGCGCCGGCGAGTCTCCACGCAGCGGTAATGGAAGGATGATGAGGCTCGTTAATGGAGTGAGGGGGGGGGAGTTCAGACGCGGCTGCTGACACTTCTGATTTCTGCCTGCACTTTGTCCGTCATCTGAACACAGTCCTGGATGTAAGGTGATCCTCACTCCTGGTCCTTGAGAGCCATAGGACTGTGGTTCACAGGGTTAGGGAGCTGGGAGCAGCGCTACATCGCACCCGCTAGGCTAATTAAGTCATCAAGAGCCCAGGTGGAGTAAAAAACAGCCTCTCTGGGACCGGGAGTTAGGATAGCTTTTTTAGGTTTCTGCCTATACTGTATATATATATATGCACTGCACCACACACTCACACGCACACACACACGCACACACACACGCACGCACACTTCCTCAATATGTGTCCTCACCGTCTCCAGCTGCCTGCTGAATCTGGGCTGCTGTGGACTTGAAGCTGTGCTGGCTCTTCGTGGTGGACGTGGAGGCCAGCCTGGTCATGTGTCCATTGTAGGCGGAGGAGCGAGGAGAGATGTGGCCGGAGAAGCCGCGCTGACCGCCGCGGGTGACACCTGGGGGGCTGCGGATGGGCGGGGCTCCGGTGGACCCGCCTCCGTTGTGGGGGCGGACTTGTGATTTGGGGGTGGTGCCGTCCGCTTCGCCACACCCAGTGGGTGTGGTCTTTGGCTGAGGTAGGTGAACAGATTCTTCTCCTTAGACCACAAGGAAACCAAAAAACAACAAGAACAAGCAGTTTCCAGAGACGCCCATGTTGCTAACAGGCTCAACAGAGGAGTGTACAGCTGTGGTACACTCAGGAGAGAAATGACCGGCTCTTGTGGCCCATAACTCTAATGGCCGACTTCTATAGCTCAGACAGGGTCCAGAACCCTGACTCCTAGTGCACGGAAATCAAATGCTGTCCCATCACTTATATTCTGATGGACGGAGCCATCTTCTTAATGAACTGATTGAGTTAAGTCATCAAGGAGACACAGTGAGGAGGGAGGAGACAATGAGAGAGGAGACACAGTGAGGAGGGAGAAGACAGTGAGGTGGGAGGTGACAGTGAGAGAGGAGACACAGTGAGGCGGGAGGAGACAGTGAGAGAGGAGACACAGTGAGGCGGGAGGAGACAGTGAGAGAGGAGACACAGTGAGGCAGGAGGAGACACAGTGAGGAGGGAGGAGACAGTGAGGTGGGAGGAGGCACAGTGAGGCGGGAGGAGACACATTGAGGAGGGAGGAGACAGTGAGAGAGGAGACACAGTGAGGCGGGAGGAGACAGTGAGAGAGGAGACACAGTGAGGCGGGAGGAGACAGTGAGGTGGGAGGAGACACAGTGAGAAGGAAGGAGACACAGTGAGGAGGGAGGAGACAGCGAGAGAGGAGACACAGGCAGGAAGAGACAGTGAGGCGGGAGGAGACACAGTGAGGGAGGAGGAGACAGTGAGGCGGGAGGAGACACAGTGAGGCGGGAGGAGACAGTGAGGCGGGAGGAGGCACAGTGAGGCGGGAGGAGACAGTGAGGCGGGAGGAGACAGTGAGGCGGGAGGAGACAGTGAGGCGGGAGGAGACACAGTGAGGGAGGAAAGCTGACAGAAGGGTTACCTTGTCCCGCTGTGCAGGGGGGCTTTGTCTGCTGGTGAGGGAGGAGGTGGGCTTTCTCGCTGGCTGAGGTGTCTCCAGTCAGCGAGTGCTCACTGTCCAGGACACACGCGCCCCCCGCCTGGGGCGGCTCTGACAGAGGAGGACACACAGTCAGTAACAAAAACCCAGTTCTCCCCAGCTCTGACTGATGGACACAGACTATCCTGAGGGGCTGCTCATCTTCATCCAAAGATGGTCAAACGTATCAATGGTTTAATGTGAAACTCTGGATCTGGTTCTGGTGGATTTCTGATTGGTTGTGGACGGCTGGTATCAGCTCTACTGCCGCCGTTATTATTGAATAGGAACGTGATTTTGTTTCTCCATAACCCTCCCCTCATCCAAAGCAGCCAGACGGCATTGTCCCCTGCTGGGGCAGACTGGGAGCGACCGGGAGGAACCAGGACAGCTGGGATTGGCTCTGGGATCTGTACCTGGAGTGTGGATGTGTCCATCGCGTTCCGATTGTGCGCCGTGGTTCTGTGGGCAACCTGGGATGTCTGGGCCCTCACGATCTGTCTCTCTGTCCTTTGCCCCGAGTCCTGCATCCATGATGTCTGCCTCGCTCCGAGACATCTGGCGTCAGGCCTGCACAGGGGTGGAGACCAGCAAAGATGGAGGTGGACCAAAGTATAGGCTACAGAGCCCACTACAGAGCCCTGTCCTCCAAAGCGCAATGAAATCGGCCTGTTTTTCAAGCCACCTCTACAGGTCAGCAGTGTAAAATATGCAGTAAATGTCA